ACCAGAACCAGTGACCCCTACATCACCTTCTTTTCTTTGCAGTTCAACCCAAACCATCCCCCATGAAAGAAAGGGAACAGTGGAATCCCCTTCGTGCATGCAATTTGCTTGCCTCTCCTTTCTTTCCCAACTAGAATCTCCCTCCAAACCCTGAAGGAGGCAGATGGACCCACCAGGAGCCATGCCCCTTGTTTGTTAACACTATCCACCCCTGAGAGGTACGGGAAGGGTAGAGAAGGCCCCCAGAGCCTCAGCAGGATATGATGGCTCAACAGCCAGCTCTCCCAAGGCCAACAAGCCCAGGAGGTCAGGATGGACAGAAGGAAGACAAATTCTTTGAGCTGGTGAGGAAGTGGTGTTATTTTTAGCCCCCAAAGCAGCACAGGGTGGCTAAGCCTGTGGGAGAGGAGACAGGACTCGGAGAGGTGGGGGTTAAAGGAGACAAGATTCAGGGTTACAGGGCCCTTTAAGGTTGGCTGACTTCACCTGACCGGAAAATGTGCCCAGGAGATTTTCTGCAGAGGATGGAGGGGCGGGGAGACTCTGAGCAAAAGCTTCCTTTCAGGATAACTGAATCAGCCCTGGATAAGTGGAGGAGGGTCCAGAAGCCCCCTCCCCCCCATCAAAACCCCTGACTTTGGAAGCCACCTGGATTTCCCAACCCACCCTAGCCCAGGTGACAAGGTCATCAAGAAGCAGTCACTTATCAAAACATCCATGGAGGGGGAGGCTCTGGAGCACCCCTCCCCATTACAGCTGGGTGACTGAGCCTCGGTCCCCACCCCAGGACAGCCAAGGCTGCACCTCCCCTCCCTACATGCTACCCTAGGGTTAGGAAGATGGAGTATCTGAGGGAAGAAGATCAAGGTGTCAGCTGAGAATGCCCAAGACGGAATACGGAAAGGCAGGGGCGCAGGGGGAGAACTCCACGCGCACACGCGCAGAGACTGCACCTGCCATCATCTGCGGTGACCGTCCCCATCCCACTCCGCTCTGGTGTAAGAGACGAGCCCCTAGAACTGACTGAACCGATTCTCTGTGCGCCTCCCCTCACCCTTGATTCTGCTGCTGGACGAGTGCCTACTCAACACCCCTTCCCCCTCACCCCGGAGCAACTGCCTCCATCCCCCGCCATCCGTGCCCCTCAGCCTATTCATCTACCACCTCTACCTACCCAGCGCTTCCGTTCATCATTCCCTTCCCTCCCTCCTTCTCCTGCCCTTCCTCCAACCCCCCCCCCCCCCCCCCCCCCCCCCCCCCCCCCCCCC